AGACAAACCCAGATCGGGGCTTGAGACTGCATTTCTCCATCCACCTCCGCTTCTTTCCTCACTCACCATTTCTCCTTTGAATCGACGGATACTGTTGTGAAGAAGAGCTTGAAGCCTGGCATCATGGCCCGCGCACGGCTCTGCAACAGCAATGGCTGGTTTGCGCCGTCGCAGGCTCACTATAGGCTTGGCCGCGTCGAGATCTGGCTCTGTCAGCTCCGGCTCTGGCAGCTCCGGCTCCGGCAGTAACATGCGTCGGGATCTAACTGGTTTCTGGGATCTACCTGGTTTCTGGGATCTACCTGGCTCTGTGGTTTACAATCTCTTGGGCTTTCGCCTCTAACGAGCTAGCCACGATGCGAGTTTCATTTTTGTTCTGGTTTTTTGAACTCTTGTGGTTTATGTTCTATTTTTTCGAACTCATGGTTTTTGTTCTGTTTTTTCAAACTCTGGTGGTTAATTTTTGGTCCTGATGTTGCTATTTTTTTTTTGTCTTGATGGAACTAGAACTAGAATTTTTGGTTCTCTTTAAACTAGTGCTCGCTGGTTTCTGTGTTGATTTCGCCGGCATTTAGGTTTTGGTTTGCTGCATATCGAGTCTCCGGTGATTCGGTACTGTTTCTTTTTGATTTATTTGCATCCATGTGAGTTGACTTGGTTTGATGAAATTCGAATATGTATCTGAGGTTTTTTTTAGACTGTGATTTAATTTCTCTTTGTTGCGTTTCAATGGTGTCAGAGGAGTCATTTGGGTTTGAGAAAAACTCAGATCTGGGTTTGATTTGGAGAGGAAGAGGAAGGGACAAGAGAGAGAGAAAGTGAAAGAGGAAGAAGAGATGACATGGAAGTTTTATTGTTAGATTGTGATTTAGTTTCTCTTTTGTTGCGTTATAGTGGTATCGAAGGAGTTATCTGAGTTTAAGAAAAACCCAGATCTGGGTTTGATTTAGAGAGGAAGAAGAAGCAATAAGAGAGAGAAAGTGAAAGAGGAAGAAGAGATGAATAAAAAAAAATCATTATTTTTAAATAAAATAAAATAAAATGTCAACTCATAAAAAAAAGGTGCCATGTCATTAGTTAAGAAAAAAATCCAGTGATTTGCTGGCAAGTTAACGTGACATCTATCATTTAACTGACGGAAGGACCATTTTGATACCGAAAATGAAAGTCTGAGGATAATTTTGGTGCTTTTTAAAGGTGAGGAACAATTTTGGTGCCAAAGTGGAAAGTTGAGGGACCAAAGTGGTACTTAAACCTATATTATATTAAATAGTGTTAAGTTTCTTATAGTTAATGAAGTGGTTATGCTTACTAAATCAACATAAAAATTGATATGCATAATCTATATAAATATAATCTATAAATTTTTGTGAAGTTGACGGATATGACAATGAGCATTTATGACAAGTTTAAGGACTTTGATTGACTCTAAACAATCAAAATTAAAAATAGTAATATCATAAGAGAAGGGCTTGTCTAAGGCATAATTTCAAGGTGTATTAACATTAATTTATTTAGAAAAACACAAAACCTAACTTCATTTTTAAAACTAATAACACTTGCATAATTTTAATTGGGTGGTTGAAAAAACTGAAGTTATTGACGGATGAATTTGTATCGTCTTAAAATTTATACTGTGTGTAGCGACATGCAATAAAACTAACTTTGGAACTTAGGATTAAATGGGTCCACACAACTTATCTCTACATCAAATATATTATACATTTTTCTGTTGATAAACCCAATAGAGTCAATATTACTAGCAATAACACTCAACCCACATTGTTAGGAATGATACGAACATATTCTACTTTGGTATTATTCTCTTATACACAACTAGATGTAGCCAGATCTATTTTTACAACATGGCTGGACACTTATGAAATCATGATTACTACTTTTACATTTTCTACTATAGCTACTTAATTCTCAATAATTGATAAAAAAAAAACCAACTAAATTACTATTACTTGGCTCCCAACAATAGACAAAGAACTGAACTTACTACTACAACAAGGCTTCTAGCAATTGACAAAGAGTTGAACTTATTACTGTTACATGGCTTCCGTCAATGGATAAAGAGTTGAACATATATCTACTACAAGGGTTTAAGAACCGACAAAAGGCCACACATGCTACAATATAGCTCTTGGAAATGAAAAAAGGGCTAAACAAACTATTATATTGCTCCTAGGAATGAACAAAGGGTGAAACATACTACAACAACTTGATTGACCACCATAAGGTTGCTTATAGTTGCTACAAGCCTTCTGTACTATAGAAAAAAGGTCTAGTTACAACACTCTAATTCCTACTTCTTGAACAAAAGGTTCACTACACACATTCTTGCAATTGGAGGGATGGCCACCCTTCTGGGATGGCCACCCTTCTAATGATAAAAATCTAACAAGTGTGGCCAATGGCTTCTTAATGTTTTTTCATGTATGGTAGTGTGGTGACCAATGGGCAACACAGTTAAGACTATCCTTTGATTGTGTAGGTACATTCAACAAGTGCCATTGCAAAGTTCTCATTGCTCTCTTCATGGTATCACACCTTATTTGTGTTGGAAGCCATGGTTAGGCATGCAACTCTAATCCCCTTTCCCACAAACAAAACTCCGCTCATTTTAGTTGTTTACATGATTGCTATGCTGGGGTTCATTTTGGATTTATGAGGATTTTCCTTTTGTAGCAATATAGTGGATTTATAGGATAAGGATAACTCTTTCATGGTAGCTCCACATGGTTCCTTCTTCAACCATAAGCAAAGTTAGTCATTGTTATCCCTTTAGTCAATTAAGGCCATTTCAAGTTAATCCTACAACACAAACATGGCCGTTAGTCATGGACATTATTACTCTTTCTATACAAAGGGACAAAATTATTAGTCATTGATAATCCCAACTTACAACACATTTCTACTACTTTCTATATGTTAGTAGGTATTGGCAACTAGTGATGTTTGGCTTGGTAACACAATACTATGGCATTCATACAAATCATACATTCTTTTAACATGGTGCAACATCATTCATGCACAATAATACTATACTACTTACCATAACATATAGACAAAGAGAAACAACAAAAATATCTACTTACATCATCCCTTTTGATGCACAAGGAAGTACTCTTTTTTATTACAAATAAATACATATTCTACACTTACATACTTGGACAATTACTCAGCCATGTATTCACTTTTTACCATAGATGACCAGGAACCTATGGACCTAAGCCCATGGGAATTACTCAAGAAAGGGTGACAAAGTGTGAAGGCAGAGTATGATTACAAAATTGTATTGTTTGATGCTAACTAAAAGGCTAGCAATCTCGTTGAAGACTAACTGGAGATGCCATTTAGGCTACCATCATCTATTTACTCAGTAATAAATTCATGGACGGCTACATAAGTCTCCTTGCATGGTTGTTTGATGGGCAAAAAGTCATAATCATTTGGAAGACCAACAAAGTACACAATTGTTTAAACAAGTTTGGTCATATCACCACAAATCCCAAGGACAAAAAGAAATTAATAGCAACAATTAACTACCTTGCTAAAATGGATAAAGTACATGGACCCAAAATTGTTAAGCTCAAATATGGTTACATCAAAACCACGGACAACAAATCTCTTTTGCTTAAAACTTTAGGGTGAAACATGGTACCACGACAGGGCTTGTCAAGTGACCTAAGTCAACCAAAATCTTGACACCTGTCCTCAACTAATGAATCTTCAACCACCAAATTGTTGATCAACCCTAACACTACATACTTAAAATTACTAAAATGCTACCACATATATATTGTCTTTCTTCATTTTTTACATCAAAAGTTCATTTTATGAAATTTTATCAGCTTAATTTAACCAATTATCTACTAACTTTCATATTTTTTTTAGTTTTGTCTATTATCTTTGGATTCTTCCAATCCTGTCTATTATCTTTCAAATTAATTTTAATTTCGTCTAGTCTGTTATCTTTGATGGAAAATTTCCTATTCTATTAGAGAATAGTTAGTCCTCTAACTATATTTTTTTTTATCTTTTAGTCCTTAAATTTATATTTGTTGTAAAAACAACTTTTATACTTAAAATTATTGTTTCTTGGCTTGGCTCTGATACTAGATTTTTCAATAGGTTTTCAAAACTTAACTCAAACTACTACTGACTAATGAATAACTGGTATGTTAAGCTCAGTAAGTGCGGAATTAGATCTACTAGATTGCTAACAAAGATAATATTTACTTGGCCCATTTTAATCTTTTTAGATCTTTATTTAAATCTGCAACTATTTGCTTCAACTTTTTGAGATTCTTAGATAGATGATAATCATCTTCAATATTACTTATTTTTTCTAAAATTTTTACTATTTTATTTCTATAATAGTCGCATTGCTGCTTATAAACTATCTTGTCTACAACAATTTTTTGAATAAAATCAAGCATCTTAAATTATAATGGTTTCATATAAATTGAATTTTTCTATTCAAAATATAAGAGGTCGGGTATTATTTCCCCATCATTTCTTATCTCAAAAATAATCTAATGTTAAACATTAATAAAGTTGTTTCTATGCCCACCTTGCTTTTGCATGATAAAATAAATGAGGTAGAAGTTTACCTTAAAATCCTTTAGACTAGCCTTCAGTCAAGCAAATGCTTCCTTCGTCCAACCCTTAATGCCAAACTCAGGTTATAATGGGTATTTGGACATGACAAGTGACTTCACTACTACCTCAGTTTCTTTAGGATTCTTCTCATTTATTTTATGATAGAAATAAAGAAGGATAGAAACATAAGAATAATTGTAAAACATGATTTTATTTCTGAGAAAAGAAAGGGAAAGTTCCCTTTTCTCTTGAAGGGTGTTTACAAATGCATAGTAAAAGGCTTTCAGGTAAGGTATTTGGATCTTCAAATGCTCGATACTTGTTACAGCTTATAGGAGGCTTTTTCTAGTGCTCCTTAGAATCTTTTCTTTCATCATTGCTGACAATTTAAAGTTTACATTATTGTCTGGTAATCTAGACTTACTTCTTGCTTTTGCTAAAGCAGATTACATGGAATCTTGTAGATGCTTTTCTTTTTCTTTAGTGACGTAAGTGCTTATGTCTTTTTGCATTGGATTCTTCAAAGGATGATGAGATCCTCTTCACTAGCTAAGGGGGTGGTCCCTTCGTCACATGAGGCTTCAGCTTTTCCTTTTGCAGATTCTTTTTTATAGCAAAAACCACAATGGCTGTCATGCTTTAACAGCTTGCATAGTCTATTATGGACTACTTTACTGGCTGGGACTAGATTTTCAAAGATTTCCTTTCTTTTCTACTTTATTTTGAATAGGCTGATGCTTGTCATTAATCTTACACTAGTGGATACCACCAAGATTTCTTGGAGAAGCCATGTGTCCATGTCTTCCTTATCTTTATCATTCTGTCAAAGGTCTAGAGTAAAACCTTGAATCTTAGAACTTGTCTCTATTGGATGAACTCAATCCCACAAAGAAACTCTTCAAAGTCTTGAAAAATTTGATCTTCATTTGCTTTTACCTTGATTTTCTTGGACTGGATTCCAATTTGAACTATATGATGACTGGGGAAATATTGAGATTTCTTCTGTTGCAGGGTAGATTTTGACAAATACTACCCCTTGAGCTTTGGTGCTAGTTTTGAAGTCTTTCACTTCTTTGTGTATAACTTTAGGAAGTTCTGAACTTCTTCATTATCCTTTAAGAGATAAATACAATTACAAAATCGTAATTGAATAATTCTTTTATTGCTTTTGGGTTTGCACCCTACATGAAATTAATTTTGGGATAGATCCTTTCATGGATAGGATGGCAATTCTCAATGGACCTCGTTAAATATGCCATTTTACAAATTCTATGGTATTCCTACAGATATTCTTCACTCATTGTTATTTTTGACAAGGTGTTTATTATT